ATCCATTCACAAGCTCAGTGCAAGCCTCAGAATTCCTTAGCACAAGTGACCCTGCCTCAGCCTCCAAGTAGCTGGGACTACAAGCCTGCGCATCACCACACATAGCTAACTTGTCTATTTTTAGCTACTCAGAGCTGTTTCTAATTTCTGAACGTCAAGCAATCTCCTGCTCAGCCTTTCAAAGTAGCTCAGGATATACAGTGAGCACTGAGTGTGCCTGTGATTTCTTTGTATTATATTTATTGTATTATATTTTTGAGGACAGAGTCTCCTTCGTGTGCCCAGGCTAGAGTTGAGTGCCAGTTGGTCAGCCTAAGCTCACAGCACTCAAACTTCCTGGGCTTAAGCGACAATCCTTCTGTCTCAGCCGGCTCGGCGGTACGTAGGACTACAGGCCACTGCGCACCAGCCAGCTATTATTTTTCTTATGTATTAGTGGCCAATTAATTCTTCGCTATTTATCAGTCAGAGACGGGTCTCACTCTGCTCTCAGGTCTGGTTCGAACTCCTGACCTCGAGCAATCCAACCGCGCTCAGCCTCCCAGAGTGCTAGGAGTCTCACAGGGTGTCTGAAGCCACGCGGCCCGCTCGCCACCTTCCGTTCTTTCTTTTTTACGTTTACTTCAAATTTCCTACCCCCAACTACCCTATCGTATCTTCAGATCTTTCATATCAAAATGTTAACACATTCCACATCTTGTTCCTATACTGTGCTTCTTTCTCCTACACTCTGATATTTCTACGCATTTCTCAATCAAACACATTAAAGATATATCATACCGTTTCACACATGGACAATTCAGTACTTCTGCTCACCAGTATCACCACCCTCTACAGTTGCACAAAGACCCATACACCTCACCTGTCTTGACACGACAACAGTTGGCTTGAGCGCGTTCTATCTGATGTTTAATGGGGTATACCGAAAGACATATAGATTCTACACTTTCTTATACAATACACAAAAAAACTATTAGGCTGGCAAAGTCGGCTGCATGCCTGTACCTCCTAGCACTCTCGACGATGAGCTATGATGATGCCACTGCACTCTAACCAGGATGACAGAGCGAGACTTTGTCCCCCCCCAAAAAACCCCCCAAAAAACAAAAAGATAATTGCTGTTTATATATGACCATGTTTATTATTTTTCCTTATATATGTAAATAGAGAATTTACATAATGTAGATCATATTGTATGTATGGTATTATATTCTGCCCATTTTCTCTTAGCATTCTATTCACTCACATGATCTAAGTTTGTGCAATCATGATTTGGAAGTTGGGTGCAGGAAAGAAGGTACAGACAGCTCAGGGTAACAATAATACCAGCTAACAGTACTGGGTAAGCCTGCTACGTGCTAAGCACCACCTGTACCATCTCTTCTGTTTCATACAACAATTCTGTGAGGCAGGTGATATTCTAATTCCTAATTTAGAGATGAGGAGACTGAAACTCAGAGAGGGCAACTAACCTTTTCAAGGTCACATAGCTACTAAGTAGTGGATCTGTGATTTGATAGCCACGTCTCCTGGATCTCAGCTTCCACTAAACCCTGGGAGAGGAATAGTTGCAATTTCCAGTCCTGGGTTTTGTTTCATTTTGTTTTGTGTGTCTCTAGAATGAGTGATTCAAGCACTAAGAGGAAAGGTGTTTTTCTCATCAACTATAATAACTATAGAGCTAGGTCACAATGAAATGGGAATTATGTAGCTTAGATAAAAAGCTCTTCAAAGGAAAAAAGATTCATGATCTCTGAATTATTCTAATAAGCACAACATGGTGAAAAGTTGAACAGTCAGTGGGGTTGTGGCACATCTTATAAAGGTCTGCTTGAGAATATTCATAGCAACTTTTCTGTAATCACCCCAAATTGGAAACAACACAAATGTCCCTCAGCTCGGTGACAGATGTACTATTGTACATCCATAATCAGAAATATATATTTTTTTTAGAAAAAGAGCAAATTGCTGATACACCTAAAGACATAATGAATCCTGAAGGTATCTTTCAAAGTAAAAGAAGCCAGAATTGAAAACGCTACATGCATGACAACATTTACCTAACATTCTGGAAAAAGCAAAACTACAGGGGGAGAGATCTGATGAGTGGTTTCTGGATGCTGAAGATAATGGAAGGTTTGACTATAGAAGAAATTGAGAAAATTTGGGGGAGTAATGGAATTGTTCTGTGTTTTGATTGTAGCTGCAGTTATATGACTATATGCATTTGTCAAAACTCACAGAATATACATTTAAAAGGTTAATTTTACTGTATTAAATTATACCTTAATACAAATAACATGGAAAACAGCTTTCTTAAGAAATGTAGTACAAATAGTACACGAAAATATGTTATTACAGAGAGTTGGTGATATAAAGCATACGACATTTAAAATATAAAGTATTCTAAGTATATAAATGTAATAACATTTTTTGAAACAGCTGAATATTAACTAAATTATATATAAAAGTAAATAAAAACTTCAAGATCAGAATGGGTTATGGGAATTGTGAGATATCTGAAGTAATCCAACTCCTCCACTTTCAAACATTTTATTTTTAAATTATTATGGACCACATTAACTATAAATAACTACATAAAATAAATATATTTAAATATTCAAAAAATTTTTCGACTTACCTCCTGGGATTCTTTGAAAAACTTTGCTCAAAGTATCTCCAGCTATTATGTTGTAACTTATCATGGCTAAAAACATAATTAAAATAATACAGTCATCAACAAGCCATCACATATTTTGTCCTGAATATTTTTAAAGTGATCAGTTATTACTTCCAAAATATTGGCCTAATCCTACTTTCAATACACATTATGATTACCAATTTACAGCTTAAATAACTAGGCAACAGATTTATAGCAGAGTATTAACTTGTATTACAAGGTTTTCACTTTACAAATTGATTCATCCACTACACCTTTAAATACGGAGTTTTGATAATTCATATAAATGCAATTTATTTGTTGTTAAAATTCAGTTTCTAAGTACTTTTTAGAAACATGCGTACTGCTTAAAGTAATGAATAATATAAAAATTTGAGTCACCAAATATCCCCTTAATTGAAAAAGTAAGACTTTGGGGAAATACAGTCTAGCCTTTTTTGTGGAGACATGAAGTTAGTGGTTCAAACAATAGCTTCTGTATATTGACTAAAAAGTGAAGTCAATTTGGCCACTGGTGAATAGTTACACTTTATTTATTTAAGAATTGCTAGGTGGCCAGTGTAGTGGCTCATGCCTGTAATCTCAGCATTTGGGAGGCCAAGGAGGATCCCATTAGGGCTGGAGTTCCAGACCAGCCTGGGCAACATGGTAAGACCCTGTCTCTACAAAAAAATGGAAAATTAGCTGGACCAGTGCATACTTCCTGTGGTCCTAGCTATTAAGGAGCTGAGGCAGGAAGCATCCTGTGAGCCTAGGAGCTGCAGGATGCAGTGAGCCATGATCAGGTCCACTGCAGTCTCTCCAGCTGAGCTAAGGATAAGACCTGTCCAAAAAAAAAAAAAAAGAGAAAGAAAGAAAAGAAGGAAAGGAAAGAAAGGAAAGAAAGGAAGGAAGGAAAGGAAACGAAAGGAAAAGGAAAAAGAAATTAAGTGCCGGTGCCATCTCTCACATTATGGTAATATATAATATAGCATGTTAACCTAGTACATGGTTTCCACAAATCCTTAGGTTTAAAAAATAGGGTGTGGTGCTCATGCCTGTAATCTAGCCACTCTGGAGCCAAGGCGGGAGGATGCTCAAGTCAGGAGTCCGAAACAGCTGAGCAAGAGGGAGACCCGTCTCTACTATAAATAGAAGAAATTATTGGCCAACTAAAAGATATATAGAAAAAATTAGCCGGGCATGGTGGCGCATGCCTCTAGTCCCAGCTACCTGGGAGGCTGAGGTAGGAGGATTGCCTGAGCCTAGGAGTTTGAGTGAGACTCTGTCTCAAAAAACAAAACAAAACAAAACAAAAACAAAAAACTTGTGTAGAATAAACGCATATTGCTACCCATAACAAAGCATGTTTCAGTATACTTTTGCCAAAAAAAAAGTGAGTGAGAGAAATAACAGATTTCTTCTAAGGCTTATATACATATATATATTTTTTTTTTTTTTGAGACAGAGTCTCACTCTGTTGCCAGGCTAGAGTGCCGTGGCATCAGCCTGGCTCACAGCAACCTCAGACTCCTGGGCTCAAGCAATCCTTCTGCCTCAGCCTCTCAAGTAGCTGGGACTATATGCATGTGCCACCATAACCAGCTAATTTTTCTATATATTTTTAGTTGGCCAATTAATTTCTTCCTATTTTTAGTAGAGATGGGGTCTCGCTCTTGCTCAGGCTGGTTTCGAACTCCTGACCTCGAGCAATCAATCCTCCCACCTCGGCCCGCCAGAGTGCTAAAATTACAGGCGTGAGCCACCGCGCCCAGCCTCTCATTCACTTTTAATCCCAGATCATTGTATGTTTTACCAGATAAGGAAAGCCCAAACATTAACCCGTGAAAATAACCCTCATTTTATTGAAAATAAATATGCAGAAAAATAAATCAAAAGGATCAGAAAATAAGGAAGAAAATGGTTAAAGAAATAAACATTTAATTTGGAAAATATTTCAACTGTTAATATTATTTTATTGTTATTTAATAACTATTAAAACTATTTTATTCAGAAATAACTACATATTTCTGTAAATAATTGCAATATTCATCTTACCTATAAAAGGATACAAAAACTGAAGAACAGAGAGGAGGAGATACCCTGGAAATCCAAAGGTTTTATTGACCAAAGACTGGTAGGTATCTGTTCCAGAGAGGGCCCCTCCTTTTATCAATAAAACAAGGGAAAAATCTGCAGCAAAAATTACAAACAAATGTCAATTCTATTTAATACAAAGGTTTTTCATGTTTTGACTTAATTACCACTGAGTAAAAGGGAAATTTTAAAGGTATATTTAATACTACAGTATTACCATGACAAGCCTGTCTTTTCATACAACATTAACTTTCATGAAACTGTAACATTTCCAGTTATATATTTTTCAATCAAGATGCAAATATACTTAAAATATCCATGTAAAGAAATGGACAGAAGAGGAAACACAGACCAGAGACAAAGTGCCAGTGTTCCATCTCACTTTCCTGACCTAATCATTGCAGTAACTGTTACCAGGTTGTCACTCACTTGCCCATAGAATGTATTAATAGGTAGGCAAATAATTCATAGGTATTTGATGTGTGAAAGCTGAGAATGAAAAATGCTGTAAGCATTTAGAAAGTAATAGATTTAGGAGACTCAGAGTATTTGTATTATAACAAAATAAAATTAATAATTTTATTTTATAGTTATGTTGAAGCGAGCACTCTAAGAATGTTTTTGGTTGAAATTTGCATTTTAGGAATTTCAGTTCCAATTTAGAATTAAAGTTCAAGATAAAAATATGCATAAATTATATAATTAAAAGTTAATCTCTCTCTTCTTTCATTTAACTCGATGGTTTATTTTTTTTGGAAAGACACTGCAGTTACATTGGGTGCACAGTTATGTACAAGGTGTGATGCTTGCTCTTTTTTCTTTCTCTCATGCTTCCCTCACAGTGATTTTTTAACCTTTAAGACATTTGGAAAGGCATTAAAGCACAAATCTTTGAAATATAGATTTCACCTTGATTCCCTTCCGTATCAGTGAAACTTCTTTCAGTAACTTCATCAATGATCTCCAAGTTGATAAATCCAATTTATACCTCCTAAACCTTAATGTTATTTGCTCTCTTTTTTTGTTTGTTTGGTTGTTTGCCATTTTCTTTCTTCTCAACCATCCTCTGTTGGCCTTTATGACATCACTTTCTCTTGGTTTTCCTCCTTCCTACCTTTTTGGCCATTTATAGTCAATTTTTTTCCAGTGTCTTTTACTGTGCTCAAACCCTGGATTCTTGGACTATTTTTTCAGTCTTCCAGATGTCCCACTATGATCTCATTTATGCCTGTGCTTTCAATTTTCATACAGATGTTAGTAACCCCTAAATTTGTGTTTCCAGCTCAGACCCCTTCAAAAGTCCAGACTTCTACAGCTAGCTGCCTAACAAGTATTTTACCTTGGAGATTTTGTAGGTATCTCACTTTTAAAATGTCTAAATACTAATTCGTGTATTTGACCTGTAACTTGATTCTCCCTCCATATTTGTTCAATCTCTGAATAGTATCAAGAGAAACTTGAGAATTGAAATAGACTTCTCATTATCTCATTACTTTCTATATGTCTTTGGTTACCAAGTCCATTGACTATTATATGGTTAGGTATTGAAATGTATTTCCTAATTTCTAATCTCTAACTTGCTTTATTGTAGAGCTTTGACCTTTATAATTTCTTGCCTGGATTACTGCAATAACTCCTAATGGTTCTTCCATTCAAATATCTGGGCTCCCACTAAGACACTTTTGACATCCCCTATCTACCAAGACATTCTGAACATCTCTCCTCCACCAGGTGCACCTGACCATAAATTACCACAAATCAAAGCATGTTTTCTGCTTAAAATCCACCAGGAAGAGAGATCCACTAAAACCTTTGGATTAAAATAAACTCCTTTTTATGAGGCAAAAAAAAAAGTATGTGTTAGCTGTGTGATTCTGGGTGAGAGACTTGACTTTTCTGAGCTCAACTTTAAAGAAAGGCAATACACCATCCTTGAAGAATGGTACGAAAATTATGGTGTTTAAGTGTCTACCACAATGCCTGCTGTGTTATAGAGGCTAAATGAATGAGAAATTATGCTATTTTTACATATTTTTGACAAGCTGCATGTTGTGGTGGAAAAAGAATGATAATTGGAGTCTGATAATAATGAAAGCAACCACAATAATACTAGCAAATATTTTCACAACACCTTTCTGCATGCCACATCTTTCCCCAAATGCTTTACATATATTAACGTGTTTAATATTCACAATAACCCAAGGTAAGTGCTATTATCATATTATCCCCATTTCATAGATGAGAAAAATGAGGCATAGAAGGTTTAATAAACAATCTCCACAGAGCTAGTAATGGAAGAATCAGGATTCAGGCACTAGTAGCTTAGCCCCAGAATCCATGCACTTAATCAAAATCCCAACTCTTCCACAAGTACCTGTGGACTTTGTGTAAGCAATTTGACCTATTAAAGTTTCAATTTTCTCTACCATAAAAGAAAAACATGAGTACTACATAATGAAGTCAGAAAGATTTAATATTGTGGCTGCATTATGCTTAGCGCCTAGCTCAGGGAATGGTAATGATTATGATTACATGAAAGCCTGCATATCTGCCTTTGCAAACCTCTCTGACTTCCCCTTTCTCCACTTGCAAACATCAACCCTACACTTTAGCCAGGCTAAATCACTTGTTCATTTTCTCTTTGCATTTCCACATTTCCATCTGCTTAGAGTACCCTTCTATTTTCTCTGCTAGCTTACATTTTTTCATAAACAGTGGAGGTGTCTCCTCCTCTCCATAACATTCCTGCTCCTTTGAGGCTGAATTAAATGCCAGTGTCCCTGTCATCATGCACATATTTTTATTATGGTAGCTTTATGCAGTATTATAAATATGGATTTTTTGTCTGCCTGAAATATTACATTTCGAGCTTCATAAAGGCAGGGATAATGTTCTTCATTGCTATGTCTGGCAAACTAGTGATCAGTATTTATTTGTCAAATGAATCAACAGGCAATAGGGAGGCTTGCTAGATGTCTACCTACCTGATTCTAACTTAATATGATAAGTGGCCTAATAAATATATTTTAAAATATTTTGCAAACTCAAAGGACATAGAAATGAATTTGACTTCCTTTGCTTAAAATTGAGAAATGCTTCAGAGGAGTTGAATATTGCTTTGGAGGATGACCAGAATTTCACCAGGTAGATAAGGAATGTCAAGGAAGAAAAGTATCAACGGGAAGATGGTGTGAAAGCATATTCTACCTGTGGGGAATTGAATAGTCCATAATGGCTAAAGATAAGATCTGCAAGTGACAGTGTTGGTGACCAGGTGAGAGAGAAGGTAGAGTGATTGGAGATGAGGCTAAAAATGCAGACTGTGGCCAAACTATGAAGAAATATGAATGTAATAATTTTTCTGGTTGTAACTATAGAGTATCAAAACTTTTTTTGATTGGAGGAGTTATGGATATGAGGTCAAGGTTTTATAAAGATAACTTATCCCAATATGGAGGATAGTGAGAAAATAGACAGATGCTGGAGGCAGGAAAAATAAACAGCAATTTATTTGCCAAGGAAGGGAACCAGTGACAACGTGTCACAGAAAGGAAGCAACTAGTTTCATAGATGCTGTGAAGGTTTGGTGAAGAACTGTATGGCTAGGATGAGAACACTCAGCATTTAATAAAAGTTCAAAATGTATTGTTTAAAGCTAACAATGTATTAAGAATTGAGTCAATAATAAATGTATATGCTTTCATCTGCTTATATAAAATACAGGCTGTAAGTATGCTCCCTTAAAACTATAAGTAATCTCAAGTGTCAACAACTATAACATTTTCTTCTCCCTTTAAATATATTATATGCAAATTTTTAAATAATCCATGTATGAATCGATGTTCTTTAACAGGAGAATTTTCTTTTAAGCCATTTTTTATGCTTGTATTGGTTTTCCTCCTACCTTTTTGGCCATTTATAGTCAATTTTTTCACCAGTAAAAAATTATTTTACTCTACTCAACAACCATAAAAATCTCAAAGCAAATCAAAATTATTTGTTGTAAATATTTATAATCCTTTTTGTTCCCCAACATCAATACTATACACTACTTGTAGATTTTGCTTTAAATGAATCAGCCTATACATTTTTTTGCTTTTGTGTGGTCATCCCTTATATATCAAAATTATTTAAGCATTTGGGTCATGCAAGTAAATTAATGAGTCATTTCCACTGATTAGTAAATTCGCACTATGTGACTTTGTGAATAACTGCTCATAGTCATTGTTATAGGTTTATCTATATGTATTAGTCAAAAAAGTTATTCATTCTGTCAGAAGGAATTTTCTTAAAAAAAAAAAGTTATTCACGTTATGATTTATTTATGTATATTTAGCTTTAGTAAAGTGTTCATTCTCTTCAAGTTCTGAATTCTCAGATGATATATATTTTGTAATTTTTTCAATTTATTGGTTCACAATGTGTGTAAATGTTTACAACATACTTAAATAAACCATGGTGATTATGTCTGGGTAGAAGTTAATGATTTGTCAGTGCTGATTGGGAAACAGGAAATTAAAAGATGACAAGTGTAAATCCAATGAATAGGATTTTTTTGTGTAATAAATGCTCTAATAAATAGAATGCAACTTTTTAAACACCAGCAACTCCTAATGAGCACAAAGTTATGGATCCCATGCTACTAAGTTACCTACCAGTCTTAAGCTACAAATTAAGAGGTGTGGAAACTAGAAGCAGCTTAGGTCTAGAGGGTGAAGGTGATGAAAGGAAAGCAGGGAGGAAGGGAGTTCAAGGCCTCCGTAGCTTTGAATCTGATATCCATTACATACATGCTTTATGGTCTCTTCCTTAGCCTGAAGAAAAATAGCAGAGTTACAGGCTGGTCTTGGAAGCCTGAGATTTTATGAGGCATGGCATCTTGGTCAGGGTCTCCAGAAGCAGAGCTGAGGCAGAGATTCTTAGGCAAGGGATTTATGGACCGAGTGCTCTCAGGAGAAGGGAGTGAGAGGTGAGGACGGGGAAACAGCTCAGCGAGTACTGCTGCAGTGGACTCTAGAGCTCCAACTGCACTGCACAGTGGTCCCTAGTGAAGGCAGGGAGTTCAGCCTTTGGCTTCCTATCAGTCAGGCACTGGCTGAAGCCTATGGGGAAATGTGGGCTCGGGGGTCATCACCTCACAGGAAGGCAGCTCCCTTGAGGCCCAGGTTGACGTTCCAGAGCAGAGTGCAGCTGAGGTGGTTTGCACTAGCTGGTAAAGGGCACTGGGCCACCACAGCAGCAACCCTGCCGGTGGGTGTCTATTTATGACCACTGCCTCTTTCACAGTGATCCTAAGGCAGAGGAAAGATGCTGTGTTTGTCATAAGGGGAGCCGGTGGGATGACAGGGCAGGGATGAGGACAGCGGGAGGAGGAGATGATTATGAGTTGAAAAGCCTGCATTTACATGAAGGAGTGGCAAAAGGTGGGTATGAATGAACAGGTTCCATGAAGAGAAGGAAGCAGAAGAGAAGATGTGCTGTAGAAACTCTTTATTGCTGCATTGAAAGAGAGTGGCAGGCAGGCCAGGAGCACAGCCAGGCATGAGCGAGGCAGGTAGGGGTGGTGAACCAGCCACCTGCACAAACACAGCTGAAAAAAGTTATTCATTCACATGCACCTGCCCATGAAGCCCTGCCGTCTGCACTTTCAGACCACAGTCCTCTCTCAGCCCTCAGCAACTTTTAAAATGACTCCCCCATCTACCACTTTCTGCATGAGGTGAAAAAAGGCACATGAAAAGGATTTAGGCTTTGTAATATATAATGCTCTTCTACTTTGTCTAATCTGTTTAAAGGATTAGTAAGAAAGTAAATCTCTTCAGACCTAAATGCTTAAATTCTTTAGGATTCTTTGATGCACTTTTTAATTAACTAGGCAAATCTATTGCAGGGTATGTGTGTGGGTGTGTAAAGCAGTCATTGCAAAATTTAAGTTGTGGGAATAAGAACTTATATAATATTTTACCTGAAATATATGAAACCCAGAATAAAAGCAATATTCCCAAAGGAAACCCAGCTTGCTTCATTGAATAAGGCAATCCTGGAAAAACACAAAATGCCCCACCCTTCACATTAATAAGACAGCTAGAAATACAGAAGTTTCCCCCCAATTTCTGCATGTCACAGGTAAATTTACATGACATATTTGTAAGCTGTGCATAGGACAGTACTATAATTAAATGTTAGCTTGCTAGTACTTATTTTAGAATAAGATGTTATTAAGTTAGGAACAGGTCAAGAAAGCAAGGTGAAGGAATAAGAATTAGAAAGTAGCAAATAAAAAATAGATACCAGTTCACACAGCTAATGGGTACTTCAGGGTAAGGAATGACATATACCCTAGAATATGTGGAGAGTAGTGACTCCAAATCCTTCCTCATGTGCTAGTCAGGAGAGCAGAGGGGATCATAAGGAGCACAGAGGGTTATGGAATATTAAGAAAGACAGACTCTGGAGTCAAAAGGGGCAACCATGCAGGAAAAAAGGAGAGAAAAATGAGAAGGCAAAAGTATTTTTTATAAAGCTCAAGGAAGTATATGAAATTATTTTTTATGATATTGGGGGGATGAACCATTTTAGATAATGGACAATAAAATATTTAAGTAAACGTAGTTAAAATATTTCCACCCAGAATTTTTCTTCTCTGAAAAATTTTGCCTTTAAACAAAAACCAAAAAAAAAAAAAAAAAAAAAAGCCATGCTGCTGAACATAATTAAGTGGTAATTTTGAATGTTGCTGACATGGATCAGCTTAAAGTGCTCAGAAGAGGAATTAACTCTAGAATTCTTGCAAGTAAAGCTGCCCACACCATCATATGTGGATGCAGAATTTTAAACAAGTCTTTACCTCTGCTTGTTTCTACTTTTCCCCAGGTAACTCCATTTTATGTATCATTTGAAAAATAAAGTCTATGTATGGAAAAATGCAAAACCCAAGCAGCATATCTGTTTGTGTAAAGAAAAGCAACTCAATCCAAATAAATGTTCACTTTTCAGAAGATTATAACGGAGACTAACATGTCAAAACTTTGTCGTAAAATGTTATATTCCCAATCAATATTGCAGTTTGCAGGATTGTGTTGCAACTTTGCCTTTTCTGAAATGGAATGTTTCTAAATTACGAAAAGAATAATCATCACTGAAAAAAAAAACCCTGCTTTTTGTACTTTAATACAATGCACATTTAATTTTTTTTCCCAGAATATTTCCCTTTCTTCTAATATATCCGTATAATATGAGCTGTTCATTTCTTTTAATTCTGATTGTTTGGCTATTTTGTTAAAAATTCATATGCATTTTCAATGAACAAATTTATGTTATTGACAAAATGATATTTAAAAATAATATATCATAAGTTTGTGCTTTAAACTTTAACATTGTATAGGTAGAAGTATCGCGTGGATTTAATTTTTTAACAAGATTGGTATATTTTCACATTAAACTTTTGTACCTCCAATATTTACAAATATCTTGAGGTTTTATACTTCCAGAAGGTCATAAAAAGATGATTCAAATTATGGTGGCCACTTTAGTAAGAGGAAAAAAGTAAATTAAGTAATACTAACAATTGACCACACAATCTATGAAAAAAGATTTTGCATCATGCATATGCAGCTCCACCTTAATCTACTGCTTGTGGAGGATGCACTCAACTGTGGAAAGTGTATGAATTGCAATCCTATCTTCAGCATAAAAGAGACAGATGCTTATTGTTATATTGGGGGAAAGAAGGAAAGCTTTTATGGAAGAAAATTACTAATTTTCTCCTTTAAGATTTTTTTCCTTCAAAATTAATCAATGAACTCTAGCAGCATTATGAGTCTTAAAATTTGCCTTTTCACTTAAAATTAAAAACAAAATAAAACACAAGACACTTACCTATTATACCGGATCCTATAATCGAGTTGACAACATTAAAAACAGCAGTAGACTGACAAGTTTTCCCTTTAGACTCATGTTCAGAAACGAGGGTTTCTCTGTCATTTAGATCTCTCTATTTTAATAGAGAAAATGTTAATTAAACAAATATTTTCTAGTTCAAAAAAATGAGAAAAGTGGCAGATAAATAGGCAATGCAGGATACTAACACGATATTAGTAATAATAAGTAATGTCAATAGTAATAATAAAATAATGTTGAGATAATAAAGAATAACAATAATAGCTAGAAATTCAACAGAGTTTTGTAAGCAAGTGCCATCCTAAAATGTTCCGATTACAGCTGCTCTAATTGCTGCATGGGACCCCAGATTGCAGGATCTGTTAGGAAACTCAACGATGTGATTTTGTGAAATTAAAGAGTTATATTGGAAAGTGCCTACCAAGGGGGGAAGGAGTCAGATTAAGGCAAAACTTTTTCTCCCAGAAACTTTCCGTGGTGCTAAACCAAGACTCCAGGTAAAGGCAGGGGGGCCTGTTGCAAGGTGAATTCACTGGCTTCCGAGCCTGCCCCAGTGGCCAGTTTACCTGCGGCGGGATGACAAGCTGCTGGCTCTGGTAGCCCATGGCTGCGCGGTGGTCCTGAGCAGGTGGAAGGTTCTGGGGCCGGGCACCTGGCTCTCACCTGGCCAGGTTCCTCCTCCGCCACCTCGCGCACAGGCAGCTGGAGGCAGCTGGAGGGAGCCGGTTCCGCCGGTGCCGCTGGGCCCCCTTCGCGCGCCAGGCGGCCGCAGCCCCAATATCTCCGGGCTGTCGCAGCCTGGGGCGGTTTCCCACCGGAGATTGCCCAGCCAAATGCACTTTTCCTCCCGATGCGGAGATACCGCGGGAGGTTTCCGATCTGGGCAGCCCTCTCTCCTCCTACCCCGCCTTTTTGCTCCCTCCCTCCCCGCACCCCGGAACACAAAGAACTACTCTTCTCCGAAGCTGCGAAGTACAATTTGTTCCACCCACAGTGCCCTACCCAGATCCTACAAAGAGTTACGACGGACTCGTCCGTAAGTTAGCGCTGCTCTCTTGTCTGCCCAGGCGAGAACGCGGCAGCGCCCTTGCTCCCACCGAGCATCTCTTCTATAGCTCCTTGTCCTCCTCCCTAGCCCTCTTCTACGGCAGCGATGACAGATGCAACTTTAGGACTTTTATTTTAAATGGAAATTGGAGGACTCATAAGAAAATAAACAAACAAACAAACAAAATCCAACCCCTACCCCCCCCCAAAAAAAACCTCCCCTAGGGTTTTAGCAAACTTGATTCTTGAGCATGCTTTGGTCAAATGCTTCCTGATAACTTTTCGGAAAAGGAGACTTAGAGAAAAAGAAGACATATTGGTACTGGATTCGGGAAATGAACCTTAGAAAGGGGAAGGGGAATGCAAGGGGTTGGGAAAGAGAAGGAAGGCACCTTGAGTATCTGAGCTAGAAAGAATCTTAAATGACCATCTATTCACCTCTCTAATATTACAGATGATGAAACTGAGGCCCAGAGAGTATTTGATCACAAACAGACAGAATTCATAAGAGAACAGTTTCAGGGGCAATAAGGGTGGTAATATGGCAGTATACTCATCAAATTCAGCCCTCCTTCGGTATCTGCAGGGGAGTGGTTCTCGGACCCCTGCGGATACCAAAATCCATGGATGCTTAAGTTTCTCATATAAAATGGCATATTTTCATATAACCTACACAATCCTCCCATACACTTTTCATCATCTCTAGATTACTTATATTACCTAATACAATGTAAATGCTATTAACTAGGTGTTACGGTGTATTTTTAAGGAAATGATGAAAAAGAAATAAAGGATAAAAGTCTGTACATATTCAGTCCATACTCAACCATCATAGGCCTAGCACCATTTTCAATCCGGGGTTGCTTGATTCTGTGGATGTAGAACTGGGGATACAGAGGACAACTGTACCTGATTAAGAGCTTCTGTTTCATAAACATTTACTTAAGATTATGGAAAAATTTAAAAACTGTGGGAAAACTAAAGGATTATAAAATAAACTTTATATACTCTCCACCATCGAATTGAGAAATGTTAACATTTGGTCATATTTTCTTCAAATTGTGAAAATAAATAAATATTTCATGTCACAATAGAAACCCCTTTGTCCTTCTCCATTTCTTTTTTTCTTCTTCCCTTTATCCTTAGAGTCATCCAATTCATGAAGTTAGTGTGTATCTTTTCTACCCATGATTTATATTTTCATTCATTCATTTGTAGCCATAAACAATATATAACATTGACTTTTGTATTTTTTAAGATTTACAAAATGGCTCCATACTTCCTTTTCTTTTCTTTTTTTTTTTTTTTGAGACAGAGTCTCACTCTGTTGCCCAGGCTAGAGTGCCGTGGCATCAGCCTCGCTCACAGCAACCTCAAACTCCTGGGCTCAAGCAATCCTGCTGCCTTAGCCTCCCAAGTAGCTGGGACTATAGGCACGTGCCACCATGCCCGGCTAATTTTTTCTATATATTTTTAGTTAGCCAATTAATTTCTTTCTATTTTTAGTAGAAACAGCGTCTCACTCTTGCTCAGGCTGGTTTTGAACTCCTGACCTTGAGCAATCCTCCTGCCTCGGCCTTCAAGAGTGCTAGGATTACAGGCGTGAGCCAGTGCACCTGACCTCCATATTTCACGTTATTTTTCCAATGGCATTTTTTTTCTTTTTTGTAAAGATGGGGTCTCACTATGTTGTCTAAGCTGTTCTTGACCTCCTGGCCTCAAGCAATCCTCCCACCTTAGCCTCCTAAGTGCTGGGATTACAGGTATGAGCTACAACACCTGGCCACCACTGGCATTTTTGTTTGTTTCAAGATGTATTATGGTAGATGCATATAGTGTTTCAAGATGTGCAATGTTAGATATATGCAGATACAGTTTATTTATTTTGTCTAATACAGTTCATTTAGCCATAACCCTACTGAAAGATATTAAGTTTGTTTCTCTTTTTTTTTTTTGAGACAGAGTCTTGCTTTGTTGCCTGGGCTAGAGTGAGTGCCCTGGCGTCAGCCTAGCTCACAGCAACCTCAAACTCCTGGGCTCAAGCAATCCTTCCACCTCAGCCACCCGAGTAGCTGGGACTACAAGCATGCACCATCATGCCCAGCTAATTTTTTCTATATTTTTAGTTGTCCAGCTAATTTCTTTCTATTTTTAGTAGAGATGGGGTCTTGCTCTTGCTCAGGATGGTCTCGAACTTCTGACCTTGAGTGATCCTCCCACCTTGGCCTCACAGAGTGCTAGGATTACAGGAGTGAGCCACCGTGCCCGGCTTGTTTCTCATTTTTATACTCTTCTGGAGCAAAAAAGAGACTTTCTCTACAAGTATAATTGTTAGGTAGCAGGACACGCACATTTCCAACTTCACTAAGTATTTCTAAATTGCTCTGCAAATTGATAGTATGAATTGTGCTTCTACTGGCAGAGGTGGATTCCTGTTTTTCTGCATTGTCAATAACAACAACTTAATTTCTTTTTTAAGTTTTTTATTGTTCTAGTGGGTTTTAAAATGGTGTATAATTATTGTATAAATTGGCATTATCCTAATCTACATTGATTTGGATAATCTTTTTACATATTAATTATTTGCATTGTCCTCTTTATGAATTTCATTTTACATCCTTTGACCATTTTATTTGATTGTTAGTCTTTTTCTTTTTTTTTAATTTAGAAAATAATTTTTCTTTTTCTCTTTTTTTAATTTTCTCTACACATAGACCCTGGAGAATGAAGATTGTTAGTCTTTTTCTTATTGATCTGTGAGAGTTATTTATATATTTGGGATGCCAACTCCATGTCAGTTATATATTTTGTACATATCTTCTCCCAGCTTCTCTCTTTTAAAATTGTGGTATTTTGTTATCTTGTGAAGTTTAAAATTTTGGTATACTCAAAATTAGTAATCTTAATCTTGATACAAGTACATTAAAAGAAGGAAAAAGTATAACCTTATTTTACTAAAAAACAATATATGCAAAAATACCAAAGAAAATATTTGCAAATTGAATTCAACTGTGTATGAAAACTTACCAATATTGTGACAAAGTTGAGTATACACTGAGTATGAAAGGATGGCTTAATTAACAAAAATGTCTATAAACATAACTTCCAACACTAACAGATTATGAGAAAAGCATGTTATTATTTCACTAGATTCAGAAAATTACTTGATAATATTGAAGTTTTGATTTAAAAAAAACTCTTTTTAAATTAGAAATAGAATACAAATTCCCTAAACTGTTAAACTATAGCAAAACATCTTCATTATGGAGAAACTTTGGATGCATTCCCATTTAATCAGAAATGAAATAAAAATATCATGATCATGACTTTTATTGACCATGACATTAGAATTCCTAGCCTAAAGCAGTAAAAGAATAAAAGAGAAATCAGAGGTATGAAGATTACAAAGTTAGGAATAAAACTGTCATTATATTTTCAGATGATAAGATTATTTATATAGAAAAATCCAAAAGAATCTAAGAGAAAAAATTAGAACTAATAAGAGAGTTTAAGGAGCTGAATAGTAGAAGATTACAATAAAAATATATTAATTTCTTTACAGCAACAACAAACAACTAGACATTATGATTTAAAAGAATATAATAGTGTCAGAGAATATCAAATACTTAGAAATAACACCATTCAAAGGGAAAGATATACACAATCTCTTCAGAGATTTTAGTTTTAAAAATTTCAGAGATTTAATTTTAATTTTCACCTTCAGAGAAAATTAAAACGTTAAAGAAGTCCTAATAAATGGATAGATATACCATATTCATGGGTAAGAGAAAAATAAGTATTCCAACGATGTAAACTCTGTCCAAGTTGATCTATTAATTACATACAACTGGTTTCATCACACAACTTTCCTTTTTATTCATTACAAAAGAAAAATATTTGTTTTCAAAAAGTAGAAACTAAAGTAAAAAGTAGAAATTTTTACAAATTATTGTATTTCTACTCTCAGTGATAACTTTATCTTCAAAAATTTTTCAATAGAATATATGTGTCTGGGTATACATGTGGGTTTTCCTCCCCCTTTTTGTGAATATGGACTCTGTGATGGTCTTTAAATGTGTCCAAAAATTCTCTGCCACAGCCATCTTCAAGAAGTGGAGCTTAATTCTCTTTCCCTCCTGTGGGCTCAATTTAGTGACTTGCTTCTAATGAATAGAGTATGGTGGGAGTGATGTGTGTACATTTTGATACTAACTCACAGGTCATTGTGGATTCTGCCTTGCTATCTTTCAGATCACTCACTCTGGGAGACGCCAGCTGCTACATTGTGAGGAAATTCAAGCTACCTATGCAGAGACCCACATGGTGAGGAACTGAAGCCTCTTCCCAATGCCATGCGAGTGAGATATAAGGGAATGCTCCAGTCCCAGTCAAGCTTTCAGATGACTGCAGCCCCTGCCAACATCCTAACTGCAACCTCAAGAAAGACCATGAGTAAGGACCACTCCACTAAACTGCTCCTACCTAAATCCTTGACCCAGAGAAAATGTGAGATAATTTTTTTTTCCTTTTAAGCCACTAAGTTTTAGGATTATTTGTTACAAAGTGATAGATAACTAATATAGTCTCTTTCTATACATATTTTTAATAACATTTTTTCCTAATTTCAAAAGTATTATTTATTTGATATAATTTCAAAAGTATTATATTCTCAATGAGAAAACTTGAAAAAGAAAGAAACAGACACATA